AAATAAGTTAACAACCAGTTCTCTGCCCTAATGACCCCACGGAATAAAAGTACGAGCAAAGGAAAAATAACTCCGGAGAAGCTCAAGCTATAGAAAGTCTGGGCGTACTGCCAACAACCATTGACAGCTGTTACAATGTAAAAAGACTTGAGCAAGAGGCAGTTTCAGAAAACACTTAAAACAGGCTAGAAACAACACACACACAGGCATACCAGAATGCCTCCTTCCTGACAGGATTAACTCCGTCAGGTGGGAAAAACAAAAGGCCGTTGGAAGGTGATTTCTTCCAATAGCTGGTTCACTGAACTGCTCAGAAAGTTAACAACCGGTTCGCTTGAACCGGTGTGAACCGGCTGAATCCCATCACTGCACGTGTCCCCAGCCCATGGGGGGGCCATTGGTGCGATCCATAGCTGGGCTGGCAGTTTTGTTAAATGCGGGTCCCTGTTTCTGAACCCCCTTTTTTCCTATTTCTAGGGGTCTTCCACCTGCAGCAGGGAGACCGTCTGAGTTTGAGCATCCCCCGTTTCAACGCCTCCTTCGACATCTCCACTCACGGGACTTTCCTGGGTGTGCTGCGTTTGTAGACATCCGAGCATCTTTGCAACCCCCCCACACCTCCCCATCCTACCTCTGAGAAGGATCCCCCCAGAAATCTTGGGGGTTCTAAATCCAGAAGTAGAGCTCCTTCAGCGGATCATGGCTTGGGCCAAGGTAGACTTGACACATACGGGATGCTCAGATGCAGGAAAGAGACCAATTTAAGCTGACGGTGGCTGAGATTTTCTGCAGAAAAGTGGGGCAGACTGACGGAGCCCACCATGGCTTAAGTTTCCAGGACACTATTGGAGATCCTTCAGCTGGGAGAACCTGAGAATATGAGTAGATTCTCAGGATCTGAGTAGATTCTCAGGATCTCCCGGCAAGATCGAAGTCACAACCAATATTTTCTCGCCTTTTGGGATGGATGTTTTGCAAATGTCCAGGAACCGAGAGATCCAGTCCAGTGTTTCTCAGGGTCAGAAAATTCCTATTTATTTCTAGGTTGAATCTCTGCTCGTCAAATTTGGCCAGTTTAAGATTTGTGGACTTCAACTCCCAGAATTCCCCAGCCAGCTCTTTTTCTCACTTTGCTGAATATCAAGATATATGTTTCCTGCATACCCACCATCTATTAAGTAAGTTACCCTTATTAAAAAAATGGCAGGTAAGGTAGTTTAGCCACCTTTGTTCTTGTCCAATCCGTGCTGCAGCCCTTCCCTGCTGGGGAATTCTGGGAGTTGAAGTCCACGTGTCTTAAAGCGGCCGAGTTTGAGAAACACTGGGATATGTCCAAATTGCTGAATTCCTCCTTGTTTTCTGAAGCGTCCCACACAAGGTGGATGAAATTCAGATAATCCTCAACTTACGACCATTCGTTTAGTGACCCAAGTTACTACAGCACTGAAAAAAGGATCTTACGACCACTCCTCATGCTTTCAGCATAGCATCCTCATGATCCCGTGATCAAAATTCGGGCGCTTGGCAGCTGACGTGTAATTTATGATGGCGGCAGCGTCCCAGGGAGATTATGTGAGTCTCCCTTTTACGACCTCCCTGTGCTGGCTTCCGACAATGCGGGAAGCCGGATTCACTTAACAACCCCAATTCACTTAAACAATCACGATATCAAATCCAGGATGATTCCCTTAAGAACTGCTTCCCTTAGCAACAGAAATTTTGGTCCCAATTTCTGTTGTAAGTTGAGGACTACCTGCAAAGCAGCAGAGGCATTGTTACACACACACACACACACACACATACACGGTTTAAACGCTTCTTCAAAATGCCATCCTGGTTTGATGCTCCTTTGTACAGGAAAAAAACCCTGCCAAATATTTGGTGTTGTTTTTACCATCGCAATGCACACAATCTTGCAAATCTTTCTATTTGCCGTTTGCAACCATTGCATTTTTAATTCAAAAATGTGTTTTTGTCCTGGGCGAAAAAAGATTGTGCAGAACCAATTCTTTTGGAGGAAAAAAAAGAAAGCACTTTTTAAAAATTAAAAAAAAGTTTTTCAAATAAAACTTTTGCATGCTTTGGGCAAAGAGGGTGGATAGCCATGGTGGGATTCAGCTGGTTCTCACAGGTTCAAGAGAACCGGTTGTTAACTTTCTGAGCAGTTTTGCGAACCGGTTGTTGGAAGAACTCATTAGGGCAGAGAACCAGTTGTTAAATTATTTGAATCCCACCACTAGTGGATACCCAGGTAAATTGCACCCATGGAAATCAGTGGGGCTTTCGCTTGGTGGGCTTCCGTGGGGTGATTTGAAGAGGAAAGTAAGGATTCAACATACAAAATTAGTGGGAATAATTCAGAATAGTCTGAAATTTTGCAGCTTGGCTGAATACTGTCAGAAGCAGAAAACAGGTCTGCGTTATTAGCTCTTTGTATCCTGAAACTACCTGCAGAGAGTTCTCGCGTGAAGACATTAAATCTCACGAGATTCAAGGGGGAAGGCCAGCAGCGGAACAATAACATAGAGTTAGAAATAGTATAGATCGATTCCCTCTCTTTCTCTACCACTAAGTGGAACTTTCAAGTTCAGTTTCTCTATTCTGTTTTTTTTTTCCCCCAGGGGAAAAGGTGCAAACCACAACACACAAAACCCACAATTTTGACATGGCTGTAATTAAGGGGGCTGGCACGGCAACGCAGGCAACGATCTTCTTTCTTAAAATGTCTTCGGGTTCAGCCTTAAATTTCCCAGAAAATGAAATTTGAGATTTAAAGAAAAAGTTTCACAAGTTCCTTTTTAATACTCTCCCACATCAAGCACGAATTGCAAACCAAAAGCAGATTGTGAGGGTTGCAGCAATTGGGGCAGCCACCAGAGGGTGCCAAAAGGGGGAAAGCTGTATTTGTGGGTTGCCCCCTAGTGGTGACCCTGGGGTTTTGCGATTCTGGTTTGGTAGATCGAAATCCAGGTTAAGCCTGGAGTTCAAGAGATTTGCTCTCTCTCTCTCTCTCTCCCTCTCTCTGCATGTGTGTGTGTGTGTGTGTGTCTGTGTGTGTGTTCAGATTTGTAGTCCCATCCTTCAAATCTTTAGCTATCTTTTTCCTGGCTTAATCTCAGTTAAATCCATTAAAATCCAGGGGTGGGCTTCAAAAATTTTAGCAACTGGTTTTCTGCCCGGTTGCTGGGTGGGTCTAGTTGGCCTCCTCCAGAGCCTGGGGGAGGGCAAACCCCCAACCCCACCCCAATGGGGCAGGATGAGCCTGTGTCCGGCCTTCTGTGGAGTCTCCGGAAGGTCCATTTTTTGCCCTCCTCAAACTTCCATGCGAGTCCTGTACTTACCTGCGATCCAAAATAAGCTGTAAAATTAACTTCCAGTTCGCTTGAACCGGAGGATGAAACATACGATGGACGGTTGCAGGAACTGAGCCTGGCTGGTCTAGGGAAGAGAAGGACCAGGGGAGACAGGAGAGCAGCCTTCCAATATTTGAGGGTCTGCCCCAGAGAGGAGGAAGGGGGTCAAGCTATTTTCTAAAGCCCCCAAAGGCCAGACAAGGAACAATGGATGGAAACTGAACAAGGAGAGATTCAACCTGGAAATAAGGAGAAACTTTGTGACAGTGAGAACAATCAACCAACAGAACCTAAGTTTCCCTTGGAAGTTGTGGGAGTGCCATCACTTGAGACCTTCAAGAAGAGACTGAACAGCCATCTGTCAGAAATGGTGTAGGGTCTCCCGCTTGGGCGGGGGGTTGGACTAGATGATCTACAGGTCCCTTCCGACTCTGATTATCTGTTAAATCTGTTAAACTTTAAACCCTCCTGATTGCAAATTCACAGTTATTCCAGCTCATCCCGGTGGAAGGAGACTTTTTGGCTAATGTAGATGGTTGCAGTTCTGTGGAAATCCAGTCCCTGGTGCTCTCGGCTGCCCCCAGAAATCCCCCCCCGACTCTCCCCAGAAAACCAGTCCCCTTTCTGTGCCAGGCACCCCAAATCTCCCACACCCAATTGCCTTCTTGGGCTTGCAAATTTATGTCCTCGTTCGAGCCAACGTGGCTTCCTCCTCCACCCAGCTGAGAGTGTGTGAATGCAAGCATTTGCACTCTGGGTCTTGAAGCCTCCAAGCCAAGGTGCCCAGGCCTCCCTCCTTCCCCTTCGCATCCCTTTGAAAACCTGCTGGGCGGGGGTGGGGGGGCGGCGTTTCAACCACACCAGAGGGAGAGGGAGAGAGAGAGGAAGAGGTTGGCTATAAAAGAGCCCCCCAATTAACTTTTATTTTATCTTCAACACGGGGTTGGACTAGAAGACCTCCAAAGTCCCTTTCAATTCCGTTGTAGTTCTGCATACTGCATTCTATATTCTGCATCTTCCATCTTGCATTCTGCATTCTGTATTCTACATTCTGCATTCCATATTCTGCATTCTATATTCTACATTCTGCATCTTCCATCTTGCATTCTGCATTCTATATTCTGTATTCTACATTCTGCATTTCATATTCTGCATTCTGAATCTTCCATCTTGCATTCTGCATTCTATATTCTGTTTTCTACATTCCGCATTCTATATTCTGCATCCTCAATCCTGCATACTGCATTCTATATTCTGCATCTTCCATCTTGCATTCTAGATTCTGTTTTCTACATTCTGCATTCCATATTCTGCATTCTATATTCTACATTCTGCATCTTCCATCTTGCATTCTGCATTCTATATTCTGTTTTCTACATTCTGCATGATATATTCTGCATTCTGCATCTTCCATTCTGCATTCTATATTCTGTTTTCTATATTCCGCATTCTATATTCTGTTTTCTACATTCCGCATTCTATATTCTGCACTCTACATTCTGCATTCCGTATTCTGCATCCTCAATCCTGCATTCTGCATTCTATATTCTGCATTCTGCCTTATCTTCCATCCTGCACCCCGCATTTATATTCTGCCTCTTCCATCTTGCATTCTGCGTTCTATATTCTGTATTCTACATTCTGCATTCCATATTCTGCATCCTGCATCTTGCATTCTGGGTTCTATATTCTGCATTCTGTATTTTTGCACCCTCAATCCTGCATTCTGTATTCTTTTCGAAGGAGATGGGGGAAGAGTTAAACTTCAGCCTTCCAGAAAGGAACAAGCGGAGGGGGGAATTATCCCCCCCACACACACACCCAACTGGGGTATGAGTAGGGGAGTGGTGGAGAATCTTGAGTTACCCCTTTGGAAGTGCAATGGCCAATCTGGGTGGAATTGGAAGTAGGGTGGGGGTGTCTATAGCTGCGAAGAAACGGGGTTCAGCTTGGCTGCCACATCCTCCACCAGCTTCACCAGGGGGTCCCTGTCAATCCGGAAGACGTGCCAATTGTCACGAATGGTGACGTCGACGGCTCCTCTCTTGCGGAAGAAATCGATCGTGGCCTGAGGCCTCTCGGCCGAGATGAATCGGAATTGGGAGCATCCTTTTTCCAGGGTGATCTGGGGAGAAAGAGGTTAAAAAATCAGGTTTGTTGGGATCCGGGACGGGCCCTTAGGGGCCCATGGACCGGATCAGGGGAAGACTTGTTGGCTAGGCTGCTTGGCCGTGGGTCTTACCTTGGCTGCTTGGTTCAGCAAGGCGGTGCCAACTCCTCTCCCTGGCGAAGAAGACACGAGAGAAGGAGAGGGAGGGAGGGGGAGGGAGAGAAAAGAGAGGGAGGGAAGGAGAGAAGAGAGATGGAGGGAGGGAGAGAGGAAGGGAGAGAAGAGGAGGAGGGAGAGACAGAAAAACAGGAAGAGAGAAGGAGAGAGGAAGAGAGATAGAGGGAGGGAGAGAGGGTGGGAGGGAGAAGAGAGAAAAAGGGGGAGGGAGGAGAGGGAGGGCGAGAGAAGAGAGAGGGAGGAGAAGAGAGAGAAGAGAGGGAGGGACAGAAAAACGGGAAGAGAGAAGGAGAGAGGAAGGGAGGGTAGTAGAGAAGAGAGATGGAGGGAGGGAGAAGGAGGGAGGGAGAGAAAATAGAGGGAGGGAGAGAAAAACGGAGTGAGAAGGAGGAAGAAAAAAGAGAGGGAAGGAGAGAAAAG